TGTTAGATGATTGTATTAATAGCTTGCTCTTATAATTTGCATATTTCTTGTAATTAAATTTACATTTCCTCTTTACAAGCCATTTTTAACAGTTGGTTTTCCATACAGCTTATAATTGTGTACAAAATCCTTTTAAAACAAGCAAGTAAGACCTGTATTGTTTTCAGGCTTGTTTTTTATCAGGTTAAAATTACCATAAATTTGTAATTAAAAAGTACATTTAATTAATATTTCTTTGCTTAACCTAAAGGGAAGCGCTTTACAGTTCTTTCAGACAAGATTTTTATGCTAAAAGAGACATTGTTTATCTTATTTTATTTATTATTTTTTTTTTTTACAATCAATATAGTTTTCATTGTTCAGTTTTTTTTTCTGTGTTCTTGTAAATGAGCCAATCAGATCTTTGGATCACTCAATATAACATTATACATAATACTGATTTTTTTTCCCCCAGTCTCAGTCTGCATTTTGAATACGATACAAGCCTGCCCTCCACTGGAAAAGTCCCCAAATTACAGGTTTTTGCTTGCAGTATATATTGTAACCAGCAGATGTCAGCACATACAAACAGTTCATCATTGTGAGCCTTCATCAATCCTCTCCTTACCATTTGTACGATTAATCATGTATAAAAAGAAGAGAAAGGAAAAAAAAAACTCACAAGGGAAGAAGATTGTCTACAAGTGTTGAGCTAATTGTCACACACAGAAAGTAAATTATTAGCGCAGGAACGGGCATATTAAGCGTGACAGTGATGAATGCTATTGTCAACACTCATTTTCTTGCCCAGGCGAGAAATGTGAGCTTCTTTTCTTTTACTTGAGGAGTCATCAAACAAAACTTTGGCAGAAACGCATTTCCCTTAGCTGTTAGTGCCATCTGTACAATTCTTGCCAGCTTCTCTGTGAAAACACAAATAGGAGAGTTTCCAAACTACATTTTTAAATTACAAGACCATTTAGCTGCTCATGAATAATTAATTTTTAATTAATCACTGCTTTACCTGAATCAACTTTTTTTTTACTTTTGCATTTGATATGGAATATATTATGCATAAGTTGCCTATAAAACTATTTATATAGTTTTTATAAATATATAAATATGACAAAAAATCATGACAACAAATGTTTTTGTTATTTTAACCTATGATTATGTAAATCAGGTTTGATTTTTTAATTCTACAAAGTTTAATACAATGATTTTTTACTCCGTTTGACTGCTGTAAGTTGAGATAACTGAAAAGGTTCATTTTATTCAACTAAAAGGCAGCAAAATATTTTGTGTTTATTTATGTGTGAATGGTTTCCTAGTTGGTATTAATGGTTTATATTAATGAGAACCCTATAATATCAACAGAACATTTTCATTACAGGTTATTTATAGTGTAAATGAAAATATTTTAGTTTATTTGTATAGCTGCTTCATTAAACAGATTATTAAAATATTCTTCATTTAAAAAAAAAACTTCTCACTAAAGTTTTACAATTACTACAAGAAAATTTATATAGATTGTGCTTACAATCAAATTAAGTTATTTAACTTTTGCAAAATAAGTTATTTACTGAAATATAATGCATTATATGTTATAAACAAATAGTACTAGCAAATAAAGTGCATAATTTAAAAATGTTAATTGCTAACCAGTCTTGGGCAAAGTTACTTTAGAAAGTAATGCATTACTATATTGAGTTACTGCCCAAAAAAAAGTAAATAGTTGCGTTACTTAGTTACTTTTTTATGGTAAGCAATATGGTACGTTACTTTTGCGTTTTCTGAGCTGGCTGAGGTTGGCTGATCTCCTTCAGAACTTGCAGTGTTTTTTTTTTTCTTCTTCTTCTTCTTCTTTATATATATATATATATATATATATATATATATATATATATATATATATATATATATATATATATTAGCTCTGCAATTAAAAACACAGTGTATAACCTTCATTTACCTTAAAAAAAAAGAAAAGAAACCTATTAAAAATTTTTGTTGGGCAAAGTTATCTTCTGAGAACTTCCTGGCCCCTATACTAGCTTTACATGGTGTATAATGACCGTTTAAAGCAATACTTTTACTACTTTTGTACTTTTTGTCTTATTAGTGGATTAAAATCAGCCCATTCAGATAATCCTCTTTTCCTTGTCTTTCATGTGTTCAAAATAAGGAGTTTTCCATGACTGAAATGTAAGGCTGTGCCATCTTCATGTCTGCCTGATCCTGCATTCACTCATCGAGTGTGGTATTCAATGTGACTACGTTCATTTTAATTCAGCAATTTATTTTTTAAAAGTGAATTAAATAATTTAAAAAAAAAAACTCACATTATATTTTTAAAAAGTAACTCAAATATTATTTCTTAACTTATAAACTTAGAAAAGTAACAAGTTACGGCCAAAGCCACCGTAAACATAAATACAAACACATTATATAAATAAATGATAGAAAGCGCTGTGCATATCAACTATGTGGATGTTAGACAGTTCTAAAGGATGTTATCACATATCCAGATGACAGGTGGAGAATGTAAGCTTATTTTCAGGCAGACGAAAATTTAGGGGGTATAGGAAATAGGCACACCTATTGAATTCTATGGCGTACAAAGAAACAATCACAATGGCACAGAAACCAGACAAAGGAGGTTACTATACCGCGCAAGATGTCTCAGATGACGATGACACTCTCTTTTAAGGACATGATTGCTCATGGTGGTAACGGGATAGCCATTTGGGATCTTTACTAACAAAGTAACATTGTCCGGGGAATTGTAGTCAAATTATTCTATAGTGATGATAGCCAAAATGAAAAAGATGAAGATAATGGGGATTGACTACTATTTAGTTTCACTTTTCCCGCTCATTTCGGTATGTTTCCCATACATTGATTTTATATTGAAGTCTTTACACTACAAAAAGGGTGTATAAATGTAGATAAAACTTAAAACATATATACATAAAAATGAAATAATTAAATAAAATATTACTCATAAATGTTTCTAAATGCATTTTTAAATATAACATAAACAAAACACTAAAAAAAATATTAATGTAGTACATTTTACATTTAACTAAAAAGAATTCCAAATTTAATCATCTTTTGTTTATTTATAGTAAAAATTAAACAGAATATTGAGATATAGAGTTAACAGTAAAGCGCATCAAAAAGTGATAAAACATTGCTATCTTTGGCTAATTAGACAATGATTAATTACAACTATCAATAAGAAAATGAATTAATAACATAATTTTTAATTAATTTTATTCTACTGTATTGAATTAATACATGACACCTTTAATTAATAGCAACTAATGTACTTAATATATTAGTTGCTGCTACAGTAGACTTTTGAATGAGTTCTTTTCTATGTTATACTGTATATTCAATTATGATTAGCTTCATTAGTAATTGAAATGACTAATGAATGACTCATGAATAACACTATACATACACTTCCCCTATTAAAGAAGATCTGTATAGCTGAAATGCTTGTCCTTGGTGATTCATACAATCACCATCAAGAGCTAGCAAGTCAATAAATATATAAAATTGAAATTCAAACAATTGTTAACCAATCAAAATAAATAACTTTGGCTCTCAACGATATTATGCCATTATCTTGCATTGTAAAAATCCATGAGTAGATTAACAGAAACATTTAAATTTTTGAATGAACTGTTCCCTTAATTAAGCATTCAATTATGGTTATTACACCACCTGTAATGTAAAGTGTTGCTAAAATAATGAATAAAAACCTAAAATGATAAATTATGTAAAAATGCTCGGTTTAGTTCTGCCTAACTGTGGAAGGATGCAATTATTTCTTGTTGAAAATATATTGAAGCAAATAAACCTCACCGTGTAATGCATGCATGAACACAATAACAAGTCTAACTGCCAATTCTCACTCACGCTAAAACACTTGGCCAAAAGCACAGCTTTAAATTGGATACTTGGATTCTACTTTTAGATGATCATTGTTCTCTGAAAGTTCATGGCTTCTTTTCTAAAGCCACAGTGAAAAGCAGTGGCTCTTTAGCTCTGCATGGGTTATAAAGAGATAGATAAAAGAAACATCAGTGAACTGATCCGTGAGGGAGATCATTATTTCAAGAATGACAAAATGGGGCACCGCCTTCACTTTACGCAGGGTTTTCAAACTGGGGTCCAGGGACCCCCTGGGGGATGCAAGGTAGTGCTAGGGGGTCTGTTGAAAAGTTTGAAAAAAAAAAAAAAAGTAAATAAAATTAAATAAATAAATAAATAATGAACATGGATAGCAGTAATAACAAAAAAAAATTAAGACTTTATTCAAATAAAAATTACATTAAAATTAGACAATTGTATTAACATAAATATAAAAGAAGCTTTTTTATTATTAATTAAAACTAATTAAATTGTAAAATAATGGAAAAATGACTAAACAAAATAAAATATAATCTATGCGGAGTTTGATTTAAAAAATATTAATGATATTTAAAATAAGATGAAATTATTAATAATATATAAATAAATACAAACATATTTAAATAAATAAATAAATATGCAGTAGTAAATAATTACTGTAAAAAATATTGTAAATACACAAAAGAATCCTTATAGTTTATCTATTTAAGATGGGTATTTTGCACATGGATGATCATATTTGGCGGACCATGAAATTAAAAAAAAAAAAAAACATTGAAAACCCCTTATATATGCTAAACAACGGGTCTTTTAAAATTTTCTTCTCGATTTGTTATGAAGAATACAGTCTCCTTTCATTATTGTTTCATCTATCTCCAGTCCATATCAGTGCATACTTTAGGAGTATTATTTCTTCTTGGAAGAAGGAAATCATACAGGTTTGGAAGAAAATAAGAGTGAGTAAATGATAACAAAATGCCTCAGCTGAACTGCTATCCCTTTAAACATTCGAGTATAACTCAACCTACCCGAAGTATTGTACGTGATAAAGACTTGTTACTTGATTTTCCCTCCCATTCTTTCCTCTTTCTCGGTCAGATGGATGTGGGGATCGTGTTTGGTTTCCAGGCTTTGGTTCAGTGCTTCATTTGATCATATCGCTGTCTCTCCTCAGAGGCGCCGCTGATTGGGCGGATTAATTCGCGTGCATCTTGAAGCTGCGTGTGCACGCGCTTTTGCCTCTCAGTCTCAGCGCGCGACATATGGGCACGCGAATCTAAACCGCAACAATATCAATACAGTCCAAGCGTCGGGGATTCTCGTAAACAATCGCGTCCCGTCCAGAAAACTTCGCGGAAACTTCTCGGGCATCATTTTACGGATTACGGATTCTTCGTTTCTAGCACGGAAGGCAAAAACAAACAGTAAACACACTGTGTGTTCATAAAGGGAGTGCAATGTTTCCGACCAAGGCGATAATCTTGGTGCTTCTTTTCTTTGACAACGCAGGTAAGAGAGCGTTATGTGTTATGCAGTAGGCTAACCCTAAACACAAAAAGTTATATAATGATAGCAGTGGTTTTGTGCAATTTTCTTTCTGATTTGCATGCTACTTTTATGGGCAGTGATGTGGTGATGCTGGTGTCACTGGCAGGTGCATCTCTGGACCTGTTTGAATTCTGTTGTTCTCATTGATCTGCACTGTTGCATAGTTTGTGAGGAGCAACGTGTTGTTTACTACTTTCATGCGGTTTCTTGTGTATCCTTATAATAATAATACATCTTATAGGAACTGCTGTGTGGGCTAATTTGCTAGGCTATATCCAAAGGGCTTTGACAATAGAACCTGTCCTTAACATGAGAGGATTATCGAGCTAATATTATAATCAGTCTTGTACTCTGAGTTAAAGCGTCTGCAGGATAGCAGAAGAATCGCATTGATTTGAATTGATCCTTTGTAAATCCTTATGGGACAGTGGGATGAATTTCTTGGCAGTCCACCTGCTGCACGACTCGAGAAAGATCCAATCAGGGAGTTTGGGCGGGAACTGTCTATGATGTAATTAACCTGTTTTGTGTATCAATATTACATCATACACGACGCGGAATCCCAACTATAATGCAGTTAAGAGAATGTTATCACTGCAAAAGCCATTTTGATTGTAATTGGCAAACTTGAATTGAATTTTGAGATTATAAATGATGTTAATTGCATCTTTTATAAATATTTATTACATTTTTGGAATTTATAAATGTTTATTATTTAATGTTTTTTTCTTTATTAGATGGGTTTTACTCTTCAAAAGCAAAAACAGGTGTTTTCCTAAAATCTAAATTTTACTGTCTGAAATAATGAAAGTTTACTTAAAGGGTTCAGCCTAAAATAAAAATAAAAATTCTTCACGTTTCCTCACTTTTGACTTGTTCCAATCCATTTTGAGTTTCTTTTTTTCTGTTGAATTCACAATATGATATTTTGAAGAATGTTGGAATGTTGTAACTGATAGGAAAAACAAATAATATGGAAGTCAGTACTTAGAGGCTTCCAACACATCTTGTTTTGTACTCTACAGTAGAAAGAAACGTAAACAGGTTTGGAACAAGTGGTGGATGGGTAAATGATGCACAATTTTCATCTTCGAGTGAACTATCCCTTTAAATTTGCCTGCATTGTATTAAAGAAAACTAGTTTTTTAAAAGACATAAAAAATGACTTATTATTTACACTCTAAAGAATAAGTAACAAGAGTAATACCTACTTAAAAACTGTAAAAGCAACATGTCCTATGGCTAAATAATAAAATATTATTGAAACATATTTATTAAATGTAGTACTTGACTGTTTGTCTACTTGCATTACCTTTTTCTTGTTTTTTTGTAAAGAGTGCATCATTTTTGATCATTACGTTTTTATGTATTTATGTTTTATTTATTTTCTTATACATGTTTGTTGAGTCGTTTATATATAACAGATGACAATTAGCCTAAGTGATAAAACATAAACATTTTACAAAATGGCTATGCTCATCTTTGCAACCAACAAACCATGTTGCTTTACTGCCAAATGTTTCTCTTAAATTCTTGTGGCATTGTGCTCCTGAACATGAAAAATGGATGGCATATGCTTGGCCTCAAATTACTGCTTTGAGAGAAGCTACTGTGCATTAAATGCATTGAGCTTTAGCATTTTTTAGACTTGGGACAGTCTTGCACATTTACTTTCACACACTCTAAGTGACCATGACCGCAAGTGTGGATATATTGAGACAAGCCCTTATTCGCCATGGATTCTCTCTGAAATTTCCTGTGGGCTTTCAGTGATTTGGATTAATGAATGAAATAAAATTGGTTATAAACATAACTTAAAGTAATTTATTCTATTACTTAAACTTCCTTGGCAGCATGCATTATTATGATGTGCAATTGCTATTATTTGTCAATAAAGCTACAAGTAATTATTACTTATGATTGTCTAAATTGCCAAGCAATGGACCACCAAATACAGTAACACATGATGTTTTTAATTAATTTTAAAATAATGTTTGAGGTAAATCAATTGTATTGCAACCTTATTTTACGTATCTTATTGTAAGTCTTTTAAAATATTAGGGGCATTATTCTAATACACATTTTAGAACCGCTGATTGTATTTTCCAAAGAAACCATGGGCTTTTAAGACCACAGACTTGAGCAGCCCTATTGATAAAATTCGATGCTGAAGGTGCGGTCATATTAAACTTAAGTGAAATTTTGTGGGCAAGGTTGGTCCTTTGTCGATAGTGTAGTGATGCATGAAGCACAGCTCAATCGACAATTATTATTTTCAAAGATTTTCAGACTTGAGTCAGATGTGAAATAGAGCTGCACGATATTGTGGAAAACGCTAGCAGTATTTCATTTTTCACCAATGTATGTTGCAATATCAAAACATATTCCCCTGATAGCTTGAAGAGCTCTATTTGTGGGGAAAAAATCATGATTTTTGGATGACTGAGTTAATTTTAAAGGCGAATGCGTGTGGATTAGGCATGGGCTAGTATAAGACTTTGACAGTATGATAACCTTGGTTAAAATATCACAGTTTCACTGTATCACATATGGCTGGGTCGATAAATGATATTATATTGAATCACGCTAAAATTTATGTCAATAACAATAAGCTCTTGACTTTTTTTTTTACTCTATAATGATCTAAGAGCCAATCACACAGCAGAAATGTGCAACAATTGCAATTTAAAAGTGTGTTGATATTCGAGATGTACAAAATTTTCGGCCACTGAAAAATGATTAGCCGAAAATGTTATGCCATTTAATGGACCCTCTAATTTTTGTGGCTTCAGTCATACTCTTTTAAATCTGGAAGCATTAACAACATATCTCAAAATATATATCGTTATCGTTCAATATGGAAAATAATTGTTAAGAGGGCCAATTGTTAAGAGAGCCCTAGTATCACAGTATTTTAATTACTGCTCTAAAATGTGTTCTTTTAAAATGTTTGGGTAAAAACAACTACTTTTTCCCATTGAACACAATGTCTTATATTGTAAAAAACATTTAAAATATCTTGGAATAGTAGCTTTTGATGTGAAGGGTCATTTTCTGCTGGAGATACTGTTGCCTCAAAAAATTAAATAAAACAGTTAGAAATAACACACAAAAAAATAGGAATGGTATAAAAGAAAGTTTTAGCGGTTTTAAGACCTTGACTTTTCCAAACTGCAGTAAACCTTGAAACTTGTTATCATCCCATAAAATATAATAAACAAATTACAAGCATCGATGAATTGATTGATAAACTTTCAGTCTAGTATTGTCAAACTTTGCCTTTACAAATTGTATGTTCTAAACTGTAACGTCTGGTCAAGTTTTCAGATAGAGACATTGCAATGATGATGCTGAAATTATATATGATACAGTATGAGCAATTCCATGCAAATGTCAACCTTGCCATGAAGTTTATACCAAAATAGAGAAACTTTTCCTACATTGTTGTGTACGCAAGTATTTTACAGTACTTACAAATACTCACACATGTCTCTGTCAATGTTTTCAAACCATTATATTTGATTTACCAAAGTCACACAAGGGACAGTTTCACATCTGTCACATTCATAATGGAAAAGTGTCACATCCATAACCAAGCTTTTTCCTCATAAATACAAAAATGTCAAATAAAATAGAATTAATGATTTTTGTTTCTATAGAGAGCCAACTCTTATCCTTTTGATTAGCCATACTGTAAACTCACATACTTTTTTTTTGGTCACATCCATTATGAATGTTTATTTTCCTCATTTTTTTAATAGATTTATATTTTTCTGATCCCATAACTCAGATCAGTGGTCAGTTGTTTTGGAAAATATAAACAGTTGTTTCAATATTATGTTAACATATACTTTCTATATGAATTTATGTTTTAAGTTTTTACTTACTGTGCAGCTGTAATCTAAAATTTGCATGAACAATTGTTTTGCCAATTTTTTTTTTTTTTTTGGAAATGTGCTTTTCTATATGTCTGTTGCATCAACACTACTCCATCAGCACTTTGAAGGAGAATTCAGAAAAAAAAATTATGTTTGGAAGCAATATGTATCTTGAATAACTTTAAGATAAGTAAATGTTGACAGATTTATTTATTTTTTTATTCTGCTCTTTTGGTTTTAGATGAACTATAGTTTAAAAAAAAATGAATATTTTAGCTCTTTATGACTCCTGAAAATTATTTTTTAAAAATACAGTGTATCTGATCCTTAAGTCAAAGATAAATTTTGCATATAGCAGGGGGTTTGAAAATTTGTTTCTGGTCTAAGAGATTTTACTAAAGCAAAATGAGCAATAGTAATTGTAAAGCCTGTAGTAGCATCCCCCCTTCTTATGTCATTATGATGATGAGAGGAAAACACAAGGCTGTGCTGCCGGAGATGCTTTGGGACTTCATCAGAGTCATCTGAGAGACAAGATGGGTGGAGCCCTACGGTCACATGATGCACTTCCCCAGGCTATGGACATGAGTCATCTTTGTGATGTCATCTCCTGATATGCACTTAAACTCTCATTGGGCTATTAATTAGTTGTGTTAGAGATAGCCTAGTCTGACTCCGAGGGCCTGAGCAAGATAATAACAATAAATATGATGTAACCCACTGCACAGCCGCTGATCCGGAAACACGACAGCCTGATCCCACAGCCTCGGCTCTGAATTTGTGGAGAGGTGGTCTACAGAAAATAGGATTTAACAGGACAGATGTTGCACTGACAGATCAATTTCCCTTGATCATTACCGCTGTACACCCACATAAACATGCGCAGAGTGGTGGAAATCTGTCTCCTCCTCCTGCGTGTATCTGCATTTGACGTTTCATTGGAAGAATTAGGTCTGTATTAGCAGTATGTTCAAAAAAGTGATTTTGTATAATTCAGTGGGTCATTGTCATATGAATGTCCAATCTACTTTACAACATAGGAACATTTTTATGCTTATAAATATATTTTCAATATATTACATT